CCCCCCCCCTCCAGCAGCTGGACCCCGAGAACACTGGCTTCATTGGCGCAGACACCTTCGCTGGCCTGGTGCACAGCCATGAGCTGCCCTTGGACCCCGCCAAGCTGGACGTGCTGGTGGCTCTGTCCCAGAGCAACGAGCGGGGCCAGGTCTGCTACCAGGAGCTGGTGGACCTGGTCAGTGCCCTGAGGGCAAGCGGGGAGCCCAGACCTCCAGACAGCACCCTGGCCGGGAGGGGTGGCCAGGGAGCCCCTTCTGGCCACCCAGCCCAGTGTGGAGGTGGGCAGACATGAGGGCTAGGCAGCATGGCGGGTGGCTGGGTGTCCCGTCCATACTCGGGCCGTCGTCCTCAGGTCAGCAGCAAGCGCTCCAGCAGCTTTAAAAGGGCCATCGCAAACGGCCAGCGGGCACTGCCTCGGGACGGGCTGCCCGACGAGCCGGGGCTGGGCGTCTACAAGCGCTTCGTTCGCTATGTGGCCTACGAGATCCTGCCGTGTGAGGTGGACCGGCGTTGGTACTTGTACCGGCACCGCAGCTGCCCGCCCCCGGTGTTCATGGTCTCAGTCACCCTTGCCCAGGTGAGCGCCGCCGGCCCCCCGCCGCCCCCACGCCTGGTTCCCCCACCTGACCCGCGTCTCCCCAGATCATCGTGTTCCTGTGCTATGGGGCGCGGCTCAACAAGTGGGTGCTGCAGACTTACCACCCTGAGTACATGAAGAGCCCCCTGGTGTACCATCCCGGGCACCGCGCCCGCGCCTGGCGTTTTCTCACCTATATGTTCATGCACGTTGGGTGAGTGGCCCCGCTCCCTTGGGACTGGCCGCAGAACCTCAGCTTGGTAGGAGGCCGGTGGGCGGCCCCGCCCACACCCCGCCCCCCCCGTGTCCATGCCACCCCCTCGCGTCCACGCCCCATCCCTCCCATCGACGCTCCGCCCTCATGCTCCCTTCCCCCTGCTGCCTCAGCCTGGAGCAGCTGGGGTTCAACGCGCTCCTGCAGCTGATGATCGGCGTGCCCCTGGAGATGGTGCACGGACTGCTCAGAATCAGCCTGCTCTACCTGGCCGGGGTGTTGGCAGGTGAGAGAAGAGCGCGCCCCTTCCCCACCCTGCCTTTGGCTAGATCCCTCACGACCCCTCTGCACTCACACAGGCTCCCTGACGGTTTCCATCACCGACATGCGGGCACCCGTGGTGGGGGGATCCGGAGGGGTCTACGCCCTCTGCTCAGCACACCTGGCCAACGTTGTCATGGTAACGGGGGTGGGTGCTGGGGTGCCCGCCAGCACTGGTGGTGGTGTGGGGTGGTGCTTGGCCTGTCTCACGGCCTATATCTGGTCCCCCCCAGAACTGGGCCGGGATGCGCTGTCCCTACAAACTGCTGAGGATGGTACTAGCCCTGGTGTGCAGTGAGTAAGGGGGCTGGGCATGGTAAGGTGGGTGGGGTATGCGGCCACAGGCTTCCAACACGTGCCCCCTTTTCCTCCGCAGTGAGTTCAGAGGTGGGCCGGGCTGTCTGGCTGCGTTTCTCCCCGCCACTGCCTGCCTCCGGTCCACAGCCCAGCTTCATGGCGCACCTGGCTGGTGCAGTAGTAGGTGTGAGCATGGGCCTGACCATCCTGCGCAGTTACGAGGAGCGTTTGGGGGACCAGTGTGGCTGGTGGGTGGTGCTGCTGGCTTACGGCACCTTCCTGCTGTTTGCTGTGTTCTGGAACATCTTTGCCTATGACCTGCTGGGTACCCACATGTCCCCGCCACCCTGATGCCCAGCCAGGGAGTGGGGTGAGGGTGCTGCCAGGGGCTGCATGTCCACCCTCCGTGAATGTATGTCGCCCCCTCGGGAGCGAGTGGTCCCCTGGCCCCACCAAGTCCGGCCAAGCCTTACACCAATTCTGATGTCCCTCCCAGGCCTGAGGAAGTGGGGCTGGATAGGAGGAGGTCCCCAAGGGAGGCCCAGTGGGGCCCATGCCCTGCCAGGCTAAGGACTTGCTGTCTGAGCCTTTTTGGAGAATGAATAAATATTTTACACAGGACACTGGTGTGCAGGGCTCACCTGGCTGGCCCCAGCCTGAGTGGACGGTGAGGGAGCCTAGCCTTTTTGTCATAGGTGGAACTTACAAGCTGTCTCTGCAGCCAGAAGGCTGGTTCCAAGGCACCTGGGGAGCAGCTGTGGCCTCCCCTGCAGGATGGTTTATGGACATTTATTGAGTCCCAATGGTGGGGCCTCTGCCTCGCCACACCAAGATCCAGGTCAGCTGGCTTGGGCCTGTTCCTCTTGCCCAGTGTGGCATTGGCACCATTGTGCCACAGGTCGGACAAGTCTGCTCCACAGTCCAGGTCCCTGACCCAACGAGGCACCAGCTTGGGAGAAGCAAGGGGCAGCTGGCCGCTGGGGTGCTGCCACCCCACCCTACTCTGGACATTACACCAGGGCCTGGCTGGCGGACACCCTCTCTCCTTGGCTCAAGATGCGGCCAGGCATAGCCAGTGCTGCAGAGTGATTATGGAACGAGCACGCTGGATAAAGGGGCCACCGCCTGAGCTGGCCACAGGGACTGCTGTGGGCAGTGAGGAGGTATGCTCATCAGACAGCTCCGCCACCAGGCCAGGCTAGTTCTTTGCCACCTGCAGACAGCTGTGCGGGCCAGGCAGATGAGGGCACCAGGGCCATTCAGGTGCCCAGACACAGTTAATGACCACTGCGCTGTCAGGAAGGAGGCAGAAGAAAGTTGCTGAATGTCACCCCAGGAGTTCCCAAAGGGGATCTGACCAAGGGTGCCCACCCTCCAGGAGGATCCACCTTGTGAGGGTTGGTTTAGCAAAGCCCTGCCCCCAAAGAAGTCCCTCCTCGGAAGGAAGCTCCATCTCTCCAAGAAGTCGTGCCCCTACTTGGGAATCCTCGCAAGCCAGCACCCACTATATTTGGTCTCATGGCACTAGGCCACACTCTCATGCTTCTCTGCTCAGCGCCCCCGCCCCCACCCCATAGTCATGGGCCACTCCTGTTATCTAGGTAAGGGCAGTGATGGGGTCTGGGCCACTGAGGAGCGCCACCCTTATCAGTTGCCATCCTTCCTCCAAACCCCCACCAGTCTAAGGCCTCCTGCTGGCTCTTGGCACATGCTGATGTCCACAACTCCTCAAACCTCACCAGGTTGGCAGCAGGGTTGCCAAGTCCAAGCGTCTGGGTGGGGCGGGATGGGGCGGGGCTCCCAGAGCAGGGGCAGGGTCCTGGAGAGGCGCTCCCCAGCCAGGGCCGGACTCAGCACCCTGGGAAGGTGTCCCACTGGGTGGCCAAATGCGGAGAGGAGTTGTGGGGCGCCTTGCAGCGCAGGCAGTGCTGTAGCTGGGCTCAGTGCAGTAGAGCCCAGTGGCCTCAGGAGGGCCGTACAGCTGGGCGGGGCAGGAGGCTGGCTAGGCAAGGAGGAGTGTCCTAGCTCGGCGCCTGCGCCCTAGCCCCGGTCCTTAACGAAGACGGAGGCCGCGCGCGCGCGCGCACGCGCGGCCCCACGTGCCCCAATGACCCGCCCCACGCAGCCGGAAGTTCCGGTGGCCTAGCGCAAGGCCGGGCCCGAGCGGATCGCGGGTTCCGGCTGCGGGGCTTCTGGCAGGCAGGGCGCGGAGGCCGGGAGCGGAGCCCAGGCAGAACCGCGCGGGCGGCGCCATGAAGGGCAAGGAGGAGAAGGAGGGCGGCGCGCGGCTGGGCTCAGGCGGCGGGAGCCCGGAGAAGAGTCCGAGCGCGCAGGAGCTCAAGGAGCAGGGCAACCGGCTCTTCGTGGGCCGCAAGTACCCGGAGGCGGCGGCCTGCTACGGCCGTGCCATCGTGAGTGCGCCTGGCCTCTAGGGGTCGGCCGGGTCCCGGGGACGCTCCGATCTTGCTCCTGGGGGCAGCGGGGGTGTGCAGAGCCGGGCAAGTGTGAGTGGCGGGCGAGCGCCGGTGCAGGAGGCAGCATGGTGGGCGTTCAGGGATTCTCAACCTAGTCAGCCGGACGGGCGCTCAGCCAGGCCCCGGGGCCAAGACTGGGAGGCGGCAGGGAGAGCCCGGTGCTCCAGCCTTGCTCCGTTCGCAGACCCGCAACCCGCTGGTGGCCGTGTACCACACGAACCGGGCGCTGTGCTACCTGAAAATGCAGCAGCATGAGCAGGCCCTGGCTGACTGCCGGCGCGCCCTGGAGCTGGATGGCCAGTCCGTGAAGGCACACTTCTTCCTGGGCCAGTGCCAGCTGGAGATGGAGAGCTACGACGAGGCCATCGCCAACCTGCAGCGAGGTGGGCCTCCGGGCACCAGGGGTGGGTATGGGTGTTTGACCTGGGGCCGGCCTGCCAATAACCCCAAACCGCCCCTCCCCTCCCCTCCCCTCCCCCCAGCCTACAACCTGGCCAAGGAGCAGAGACTCAACTTCGGCGACGACATCCCCAGCGCGCTGCGCATCGCCAAGAAGAAGCGCTGGAACAGCATCGAAGAACGGAGAATCCACCAGGAGAATGAGCTGCACGCGTACCTCACACGGCTCATTGTGGCCGAGCGTGAGAGGTGCCCCCAGTCAATCACACAAGGGCCTGGTCCCACACTCGAGGGTTTATTGGAGGGAGGGACGCAAGGGACAGGGAGCAGACTTCTCCTCGCCTGACCAGCTCCTGGTTGGCCCTCAGGGAGCTGGAGGCGTGTCAGCGGAACCATGAGGACAAGGATGACGGCCATGCCCGGGCCCAGCAGGCCTGCATCGAGGCCAAGCATGTAAGCACACCTCTTGTCCCATGCTGGTTAGCGTGTGTGTGCACCCTTGGGGTGTCTGGAACCTGCAGAGCCACTGGTTTCTCGACAGGACAAGTACCTGGCAGACATGGATGACCTCTTCTCCCAAGTGGATGAGAAGAGAAAGGTGAGGCTCGCCTGTCCCCGGGCCCTGTGGGTGGTACCTTCCACCACTGACCCTTCCTGTGTGTGTAGAAGCGCGACATCCCGGACTACCTGTGCGGCAAGATCAGCTTCGAGCTGATGCGGGAACCGTGCATCACGCCCAGCGGCATCACGTATGACCGGAAGGACATTGAGGAGCACTTGCAGGTGAGGCGGAGGCCGGTGCCTGCCAACTCAGCCCAGGCTCCCCACCGCCCCTGACTCTGCTGCTATCCCTGCAGCGTGTGGGCCACTTTGACCCAGTGACCAGGAGCCCGCTGACCCAGGAACAGCTCATCCCCAACCTGGCCATGAAGGAGGTCATTGACGCATTCATCTCTGACAACGGCTGGGTGGAGGACTACTGAGCCTGTGGCGGGTGTCGCTCAGCCCTCCTGTCCCTGTACATAGTCTGTCCCCAGAGGCCCTCCACCCCTCCCCCAGCCCGCCCACCTTTCTGCTGTTGGGCCCAGAGCCTCCCCGTCCTACTCTGGGCCCCTAACAGCAGTGAAGGTAGGCGGCCAGGGCCACCTCACCCCTGTAATAAAGTCTGTGAGCACTCATGGTGTGTGCAGTCGACTGGGTGAAGGAAACAGGCCAGCAACCACCCAGCTATCCCAGGAAGGTAGAAATGAAGACGCTGGTCTCCAGGTTCAGGGTGGCATGCCACCAGCGGTCAGGGAAATACAGTGCCTGGCAGGGATTGGAAGCATAGAATTAGCCGTGGGCCTGTGAGCCATCTCCTCCCATCTGACCCGCCACTGACCTCCCCAGCCTGGATGGTGCACTCCAGGGGCCGGTTGGAGGGCGCCAGGGCAGGATATGTGTCCTGCAGCCAGGCCAGTGTGGTCTTGTTGGGGTGGAATTCAGGTGTCTTCTCTGGGGGGTACAGGAACCAGCGCTGGTAGAAGGAGCAATGAGGTCACTCAGATGCCAGGCCAGTGAGCCCACATCCTCCCTCCAAGCCTATGCTGACCTTTAAAAGAAACTTTTTAAATTGGGGGCTCATACAATTCATCACAATCCATCCATCCATCTATCGTGTCAAGTACATTTGTTGCCATCATTCTTGAAACATTTTCTTTCTACTTCAGCCCTTGGTATCAGCTCATTTTTTCCCCCTCCCGACCCTCATGAACCCTTGATAATTTATAAATTATTACTTTGTCATATCTTGTCCTGTCTGACGTCTCCCTTCAGTCACTTTTTTGTTGTCCATCCCCCAGGGAGGGGGTTATATGTAGATCATTGTGATCGGTACCCCCTTTATTTCCCTACCTTCCCTTCCTGGTATTGCTACTCATTATTGGTCCTGAGGGCCTGTGCTGACCTTTCGGCCGTAGATCACCTCTGAGAACCCAGGGCCATGCCAGTGGAAGGGCACACCAGAGCCGGATCCTGCAAGGCCAGGAAAACTGGTGGTCACACCTGTCCCCCACTCCCTGGCTTCCCCCCATCCCTGGGCCTCCTGGGATGCCCACCTGCGATTCCAAAACTGTAAGCAGGGGTGGTGCCCAGCAAGCCAAACGGGGGTGGGGAGTAGTGCTGGAAAAGCGGGGCCCACTCAGTGAAGTTGTTGTCCCCGAAGAAGTACAGGGTGTCTGCAAAGAAGGGGGTAGGCTGGAGTCCTACCCAGGCTCTCAGGTGATCCATCCCAGCCTCTCCTGAGGGGCTCACCATTGCCCAGGGAGGCAGGGTCCTGGGGCCAAAGCAGCTGTTCCACATACTGACGGAAAGGCAGGTCCACTGTAATGAAGGTAATCATGACTGGTGGGATGGCCCTGGAACCCGGCGGGAAGTTGGCCCAGGCAGGGTAGGGCAGGGTAGCTCACCTTTCTGGTAGGAGAAGGTGTTGGCTGTGCTCAGCCGAACCACCCTGTCCCCAAACAAGGCTAGCAACCTATCCCGGGAGCACAGGGCGCGGAATCTCTGTGGGGTGGGGATTGAACTCAGCAGCCAGGCTAGGTACGGGTCAAAGCTGCCCCGAGGCTGCCACTCACCGTGTTGTCTGTGAGGCCCGACAGGATGACAGGTCTGTGGAAGGCGTAACTGGAAGGAAAGGCAGGGGCAAGGCCAGTTCACCCCCGCGCTCGCCTCCCCGTGGTCTCTGGCTGCAGCACAGGCGTGACATCAGCGGTCAGGAAGCCTGGGACCAGGGGCAGCTGGGGGCGGGAACTGACAAACGGGCACGTACTTACCGCTGCACGAACTCGGCGTAGGTGAGGTCGGCCCGGCGCTCCACAGTGCAGCGCTCCTCCTCGGCCACGGCCGCCGGCGCCCCCGGCCCACCCCGTTGCCTGCGGGCACTGTCGGTCAGTGCCCATTCCCTGTCCCGTCTCCGTCCCCCACCCCCGTCTTCTGCCCCCGCCCCGCGGCGCTCACCAACCCCCGTCGCCCGCCAGCCCAGAAGCGGCCCTCCGCGGAGCCGCCAGCGCCCACAGCACCAGCAGCAGGAGCCTCTGCGACCCACGCGCCATGATCGATCCCGCCGTGGTCACCCCGCCGCCGCAGGGCACGCCGGGAAGCCGGCGCAAACCCGGCGGAGCTGCAATTGGCCGAGACACCGTTGTTGTGGCAACAGGCGCGCGCCGCACAACTCCCGGAAGCACCTGCGCCGAGCGACCCGCCCACCTGGAGGCGGGGCCAGGGCTCTCGAAGAGCAGCTATTGGCTCCGTCCAGTTACTGTGGCGACGCGGCCACAAGCCCGGCCTCCCACCGAACCTGGATCCCGCACGCGCTGGATGGGGTGTAGGGGGGGGAAGGAAGCGACCCGGAAGCCACAGCGACTCCTTCACAAGCTTTAATGAGTTGACCGGCTTCGGTCCTTTGGCCTGGCTCAGTGCGGGCAGAGGCATGCGCAGTCGCGGCGGCCGTCAGGAGTATTCACAGAGGTGGCCGCAACCGGCCGGACAGTGAGAACTGCCCTCCAGCCACTTCATGATGTGCTGCAGGTGGCCGCCGTGGCTGCAGCCCTGGCACCACACGAACAGGCCCTTGACCACGTGGTGGCAGACGGCGCACATGCTGGCGCAGCGGTGGCACCTGGGGGGTGGAGGTTCTCTCAGCTGGGGTTCAGGGGTGCCCAAGCCTGCCCTTCCCTGCACCCTCACCGGCCCCTTGGGCCCACCTGCCGCAGACCCAGCCTCGGCCGCTCATGGGCCGCATGCAGTGGCTGCAGTTGACGTGCAGGGAGGTGGAGGCCTGGTTGAGGCAGCTGATGGCGCGGC